ATTACAAAGTTATGAATTCAATGGCACGTTTCATTGATTCTTGTTAGAGTTTATCTACAAAACGTTCATATTAATATTAATCTTTATAAATATGTAAATACATACACCGTTTACGTATGTATATTCGTTTGGTATGTCTGAGAGTAATTATGCGAATAATCGCTAGCTTAGAATTAAAATTCTTAAGGACTCGTAAGCAACAAAAAAACAATCTAACACATTTGAAATGATCGCATGTCGTTCTCAACACGATTGTTAAAAAACTATAAGAGGAATCGAGGGCGCAGAATATTTCGCTCGCTGTATATTCCATTTGTCCCGACACCCTTAACACTTCGACTGGCATGTCACCCAAATTCAGGTGAGGCATAAAGCTTTCAATGGGCCGTGACACCCGGATCAGGGTGATGTATTATCTGTGGTATTTCGGAGCTAGGTTGATAACAATTTTATAAAAGGAATATTTCGTTTGGCAGTCAAAGCGTTAATTATATTAAAATATTCTATTAATTTCTCGTCATCTTCCCACGTATCGTCTCTTCCTGTACATCCAGTCTTCTTTGATCATGTCGCTCGCTTTTTCACCGATCATTATGGTAGGAGCGTTCGGGTTTCCACTGACTATCACTGGCATGATCGACGCGTCCGCGACCCTCAACCCCTTCACCCCACGCACCCTCAACCGCGGATCGACGACCGCCGTCGGGTCGCTCTTTGGTCCCATTTTACACGTCCCGGTGGGATGGTAAATGGTAAAAGTAAAATGTCGAATCGCGCACTCCCAATAATCGTAGGTATCAAACGGGTATCTCTGACAACCCGGCATGCGAATAGTATGCGGTCTAGAACCGAATCTTTGGAACGCAGTCGTGTTCGACAGTGCCAACGCGATTTTGATACCCTCCACGAGAACGTCCACGTCCTCCTTGTGCGTAAAGTAGTTCGGATTGATATCCGGGTACGCGAGCGGGTTTTTACTCTTCAAACGCACCCAACCAGAACTTCTGGGTCTCAGTAACAGTGGTAGAATGCTCCAGGTTTCTGCCTGATTCAACGGCTTGTACATAGTGTTGTACACGCTGTCTCGTAGACCGGTGATCTTCTGAATTTGACCATCGTCGGAACTGACCGAACTCGGGGCGAAGTGAAATTGAACATCCGGGAAATCGATCGATTTGTCAGCGTATTTGGTATTGACGAAGGCCAGGCCTTCGACCCCCGGGGTGGTCATCGGCCCTTTCTCGCGTAGAATGTATTCCATCATCACGGAAAACGTTTGAAATCGATCCTTTCTAATACTGAACGGTTCGTTCACTATAAACGTGAACCCACCAAGGCCTACGTGGTCCTGAAGATTGTCACCGACTCTCAAATCGGATAAAACCGGTATACCGAATTCAGCTAAGTGTTCCGCGGGTCCGATGCCAGACAGCATCAACAGTTGGGGCGAATTGATCGCACCGGCTGATAACACGACCTCCCGTCTGACTCTTATCACTTGCCGATGACCGTCCCTGAGGATCTCCACGCCCGTCGCTCTTTTGTCCCCGTTGAACAGCACCCGCAATGCTTGTGCTTGCATCGCTATGTGCAAGTTCTCTCTGTTCCTCACCGGCCTCAGGAACGCCTTCGCTGTGGAGCAACGGCTGCCACGACGAATGGTGAACTGTGGCAACATGAAACCGGTCTGATTCGCACCGTTTATGTCGCGGGTCTCGTAACCGAGCTCCTGGCCCGCTTGCAGGAACGCGATCGATAACGGCGTCCGCCACGGCGCCTCTTGGACAGTCAAATAACCGTCGGTGCCGTGATAAGGCGTTCTAGCTAAGTACGGGTTGCGGTTGTCCTCAGACTTGAGGAAATATGGGAGAACTTCGTCGTAACTCCAACCGACGTTCCCCAGTCTCGCCCAGTTGTCGTAATCGTGCCTGGAAATATTGTCCAATTTTAAAGTCGTATAAAAACAAGACTTCTTGCC